AGTTGACATAGATCCAGCCAGCACAACTCACCCCTTGTCAACCTGACATCGCTGCTAAGCCACAACCTTTTCTTTCTTGTTCATCCCCAAGATCACACAGTAGTGATGATACTGCACAATATGAAACATTTTACAAACTTAGAAAGCCCCACAGCCTTACAAATTCATCTTAAAAATTGTCTCCTTAAAAATATCCAGTCTCTTTTAAAATCCAAATTCTCTGGAAAAATCCCCAAATCTCTTTTTTTAAAAAATAGTTTAAAGTCTCTCAACTGTGGGATCCTGTAAAATAAAAAATAAATTAAGAGCTTTCTTACTGTAAAGGGAGAGAAGCAGGGAGCAGTCACAACCTGAACCAAACAGAAAACCAAACAGTACAGACAATACAATGCCAATATCTGGGATCTACTCATGATCTTCTGTGTTTCTTCAAAGTGCTTGGGTCATTTCTCCATCTCTGCTCTCTGCAGCACATACAGATTGTCTTCTAGGCTCCAGCTGGCTCCACTCCACTCATGCTCCTGTTCTTAGCGGTCATCCCATGGTATTGGCATCTCCAAAATGCTGGGATTTCTTGCTGCAACTGGGCTGCACTGTCACCAATACCCTTTCATAGTGTTTTTCATGGTGCAAGTTTCAATTTCTTTGCATTACCCTTTAGTCCTGGGCCTTCTGAGGCTGCACCTTCCCCAATGGCCTCTCCTGGCCTTTCACAGTGCCAAATCTCAGAAGCTGTCTATGACCCCTTCATCCCTTCAAAACCAGTCCAACCTGGGTGACTGTTACACTATCAAGTTCAGCTACTAGGGCAAGCTACAACCTTGGCTATGTCTGGAACATTGGTGTGCTGACTCTCAGAAAACGCTTTCTAGAAGATTTCAGCTCAATGATTCTCTTCTTCACTACTGCTAATTTCTTAGCTCCAGCTGACCAGAGTTGAGTATCCCAACAAAGCAAAGGTTTCATTTTAATAGTTCTGGTATCTTGTTAATCAAAGCTGATTCTTTAGCTCCAGCTGACCAGAATTACAGATTCCTCATACAAAAAGCCCGGTAGAGCTTTGCTTCCCTCTGAAACTTCACAAGCTAGGCCTTCACTGCATGCACTGCAGCCAACATTGTTCTTTTCCAAGCTTCTACACAACAGTTTACTGAGAATTCAGCACTTAGTGACTTTCCTAGCCCAGAGTTCCAAAGTTCTTCCACAGTCCTCCCCAAAACAACACGGTCAAGTCAGTTGCAGCAATACCCCCATTATCCTTGTACCAACTTGTTTTAGTCAGGGTTTGTGTTGCTGCAATGAAACAGCATGACAAGAAAGCAAGTTGGGTAGGAAAGGGTTTATTTGGCTTACATTTCCGTATTACTGTTCATCATTGAAGGAAGTCAGGACAGGAACTCAAACAGGGCAGGAACCTAGAGGCAGGAGCTGATGTAGAGGCCATGGAGGGATGCTGCTTACTGGCTTGCTCTTTATGGCTTGCTGAGACTGCTTTCTTACAGAATTCAGAACCATCAGCCCAGGAATGGCACCACTCACAGTGGGATGGGCCCACCTCTCTCTATCACTCATTAAGTAAATGCTCTACAGGATGGACCACAGCTCGATCTTCTGGAGGCACAGATAGCTTGTGTCAAGTTGACATAAATCTAGCCAACCCCAAGCCTCTTGCCACTGTGGCTCTCTAAGAACAAAGGTAGCTTCATTTGCTATGACATCCCTTTGCGTTCCTCCTCAAAGAAGGTGAACTGTAAACACAGGGGCTTAATACCAGGGACCCTATTACACAGGATGCTTTTCTATAAGAAAGATGCTCCATTTCCATTTTACAAGTGAGAATGAGGTACGAGGAAGAGCTACCCCAA